CCGGACGGAGGACCACAGTACTGGAATGGGTGCGGGAGGAGCTGCGCTCGCCTCGACCAGGGCTGGGGCTGGTACTGCTGTCGGACGTGCCGCAATACGGATGGCGAAGCCCGTGGGCCCTGCTGTCAGGCCCAACATGAGGACCTCCAGAAGATGCAGAGAGAGGCAGGCTACCACCGACCGGCCTGCGAGGAGGCGAGGGGCAGCGGTGGTCCTGGAGCCCGGGCAGCAGGCGAGGAGGCACTGAGGCACCCATCTCCCAGGGGAGAGGCGAGCGGCAGCGGAGGTCCCGGAGCCCATGCAGCAGGAGAGGGGGCACCGAGGCACCCCCCGCCTAAGGCGGCGCCGGGCGGCCGCTTGCCCCCCATCTGGGAGGAGCAGCAACGCGCGGTGGCGAAAGCACCCCCGCGCGCAGCGCAAGCGGGTCCGCGACCTGAGGAGGCGGGCGGCAGCGTAGGGCCTGGAGCCCAGGCAGCAGGCGAGGAGGCGCAGGCCACGCCGCCACCGACGGAGCCGCAGCCGGGTTGGGCGCTGCCAGCGCCTCAGGAGACTGTGGGCGGGAGACTGCCGTCGCGCCCCCCCCCCTGCGGCAGGTCGCCGCCACTGGTGACGCAGAGGAGAATCTGAGGGGGTGACGAGCCGCCACCCGTGCCCTTCCCAGGAGGCGACCCTAGCGCCAGACACGAGTGGTGTGAGCACTACGGCGTGCAAGGCGAGGGTCGAGATGTGGGTTGCCCGATGCGTCATAGGGTTTACCCCATCTCGATTGCGCGGGATCGGGCGCTGGCGGCGCAGAGGGCAGCTGAGGCAGAGTGCGCGGCTATGGCAGCGGCTCGAGCGGCGCCGCTGCCGCGCAGGTCGTTGCCCAGCGATGCCCAGCTTGGCGATCCGATCCCCCCGAGCTGGCCGGATAGGCGCGCCGGAGCTGTCTCCGACGACGAGAGGTGGGGAGGTTGGACCCCGCACGGCCGAGAGGCCACTACCCCGGGCGGCGCAATTGCGGCCGGCGCGGTGGGGGCGGGGCCCGCCCAAACTCCAGCACAGGAAGGGGGGCCGGTCAGGGATCTGGCCCCTTGCCTCAACCCGGGGCGCCCCTACCTGGAGCACAGCGCCCCTGGAAGGCTATGGAAGCCGGGCTACTGCTGCGACAAGCGCGGGGGTCGCCACCACGAGCAGGACTGGGCCGCAGGAGGCGTCACGCATTACAAGTACTGCGAGAAGGCGCCTCACGGCCGCGAGGGAGAGCAGCAGCCAGGAGAAGGAGGTGGAGGAGGCGGCGGAAGCCGCAAGAAGAATAAGAAAAATAAGAGACCAGCGCTGGATGATGCGGTGGTGGACGGCCGGGCTAGGGCGCTGGCGGCGCTCCACGATGATGTCGAGGAGGAGGAGCCTTCACCCGAGTGCCCACCCCCCTCGCCACGTGAGCTGAGGAGGAGGAAGAGGGGCGCGGAAGCGGAGGCCCACAGGAACGAGCCGCGCATCAAGCTCGTTGCGAGGATGCTGCCAACTAAGGTGAAGGAGGAAGCGAAGTCTGAGGATGAGGGCTCGAAGACGGCTGCAGCTTCGTCGCCAAGGCAGGAGGCGAGCGGCGGGGGCGGCCGGGGGGGCGACCCCGAAGCTGCAGGTCGCAGGTACAAGGAGCTGGCGGAGCGCGCGGAGGGCAGGCGAACCATCGGGAAGAGCGCGGCGAACCAGAAGTACCGTCGCCTTTTGGATCACGCAGCGCGCGCCCTAGCACGGGCTCAGGAGTTGTGCCCGCAGGTGCTTGAAGAGAGACACGGCGGGGCAGCCGCGCCCGAGGGTCAGGGGCGGCCTAGGTCGTCGGAGGAGAGGAGACGCCCAGCGAGCCTGGCAAGGAGGGCCAGCTCAGTCCCCCCCCCCTGGCCTACGCGGGGCATTGGCGTGCCGCGTGCCCGTGTCAAGGAGCCCTTGCCGATGCCGTCACCAAGAGAGAGGGCAGTCTCACGCAGCCCGCCCAGGCGCAGTGCCACCCCAGAGGACGAGGGGGGCGAGGGTGATGCTGCGAGCTCTGTCGACACGGAGCTGCAGGCGGAGTCGGGAGAGGCCGACGCGGGCACGGGCAGCGAGGCCAGGATGGCGGCGCTGAGGGCCAGGGCCATCCAGATCAAGCGCGATGAGGACGACGCGGCGGAGATGGCCAGGAGGAACGAGGCGTGGCAGAGGCCAGGGGCGCCACGGGAGGGCCTCAGCCGGGAGCCGCCTAGGTCTGAGCGCTCTCTATCGCCTGGGCTATCGGCGCCGAGCTCCCCGCCGCTCCACGCATCGCGGCAGGCCGAGGCGGGGGAGCGCCCGGCCTACGCGCCGCTGCCCAGCGAGGACGTAGAGATCAACCCGCGCGCGGTGGCGCGCTACCTGGCGGACAGGCGGAGCTCTGGCAGTGCAGGCCCGGGCGAGAGGGGTGTTCGCGCCCATCTCGAAGCCATGGCACGGGAGGCCACACATGGCTCAGGCCGCCGTCGCGATCGAGGTGGGGACCGCAGGCGCGATAGCGGTGGAGGAGACGACCGCAGGAGCGGGTGCCTCGAGCAGGCGCAGGCTGAAGAGGAGCTTGAGGCGCTGGTGAGGAGGTGGAGCTACCCCGAGCAGAGAGGTGGGCGGCTCGATTGGGCCCTGGCAGCCATGGGCGCAGGCGAGGAGCACGACCGTAGAGCGGGGGCCACCTCGCATAAGGGCAAGGAAGGCAGCAAGAAGGTCCGCGGCACGTGCGAGAACAAGCCGCCCAACCTTCTTGGACCAGAAGCAGTCCGAGCGAGTGCCCGCCCGGACGACCTCACTCTGACGGACCTCAAGACGCGCGAGGAATGGGAGAAGGCCAAACTCGAGCTCATTCTCGACAAGCTGGCTAGCTCCACGATCAAGTCGTACAGCATTGGCTGGAGGTGGTGGACTCTCTTCTGCCGCGCGAGGGGAATCAGTCCGCTTCGCGAGATCACGCCAGAGAGCAGGAGGAATGATGAGGAGCTGCTGCTGGAGTTCGTCATCCACTTGGCGCGCCGAGGCTGCAAGAAGGCGGGCACCATCAAGCAGTGCCTGAGCTCGGTCCGAGCCCAGCACCTCGCGCTCGGCATGGGCGACATCACGGAAGGCACTGATAGGATCTGGATGGCGATCGACGGGCTCAGAAGAAAGGATGGCGGCACCAAGCGCAAGAAGCCAGTCACTCCCCGCATGATGAGGTGGATCAGGCGGAAGCTGCAGCCAGAGAGGTCGAGAGAGGGCGCAGCTCTGTGGGCTGCGGTGGCTACGGGCTACTTCTTCCTTCTGAGGGCCAGCGAGTACGTCTCGAACGATCAGAACGGCTACATGGGCAATAAAGGCCTTCGGGGAGCTGACGTCACCCCGAAGGCGAGCGGCGAGCCGACCCGCGCGTGGGGCGAGGCGAACGAGGTCGTCATCAAGATCCGGGCCAGCAAGACCGATCAGTACAACAGGGGCGAGTGGCGCAACCACGTTCGTATCGTGATCGCGGAAGATGCAGATCGAGCTGAGCACATCTGCGTGGTGGAGGCGCTCGAGATCTATGCTGGTTGGGCCAACGAGAGGTTCTCGGGCGCGCAGATGTACGACCCCCTGTTCGCTTTCGACGACATGCGCTTGGTGACACGCACTGACGCCCAGCGTGTGGTGATGCAGTCGGCGGTGGCGGAGGGCATGGACCCGAACGACCTGGGGTCGCACAGCCTGAGGATCGGAGGAGCGTCGGCACTGTACGCGGCATTCAAGGACACCGCTCTGGTGCAACGCTGGGGCAGGTGGAGCAGCGACGCCTTCCAGGGGTACCTGTGGGAAGCGCGCGGCATGGCAGAGGGGGTTGCCAGCAGTATGGCGGCCACCGACATCACGATGGTTTGAGAGGTTGTGCAGTCGCGTTGGCCGGAGGCTCAGAGCGCGTGGGCAGCAGGGCCGATCAGGCCAGTGCTGAGAGCGCAAGGGAGCTTCGAGGCTGGCAATGCGGCGCTAGGCATAGCCAGGAGTGCTGGGCTGTGTGGGGCCAGGTCCCCCCGCCAGTGCGTGCGGGGGCCCTCGAAGTGGGCCCCGCGGCGCGCTAGGAGAAGACCTGGTGCAGGACGCACCAGAGGGGGCGGCGCTGGGCCGCCAGGAGAGCACGAGGGGGGTCCAGCGGCGGCGGGGCCGCCGCCGCAGAGCTCGTGCCTGCGGAATGGACCGCAGGCGCCTTGATGCCAAAAAGTGGGGTTCGAGGCAGCTAGAGGAGGGAGAAGAGGTTTGCGGAGGCGGCCTGAGGGCTCAGGGCCATCAGGCCCAGGCGAGCCCGATCCGCCCGGGGGCCCAGAGGCGGAGAGTACAGAAGGAAACGTGATCGTTCGTGAGAACAGTGGGTTTCCTCCCGCCGCGCAGCCTCTTCTCTGCTTTGTCCTCTCCCGCTGCCGTGTTTCTCAAGGCTCTGAGGAGCCGCTTGCATTTTGGGGTCCCACCCACCCACGCCAGAGGAGGTGGGGCCCCAGCCGAGTTTGCTCGGCGGGCCCCCACAGGGGGGCTCGCACGCGCTTCCCGCATCGCGGTCGGCGCGTCGTTTCGCCTCCCGCGAGGTCCCTCGCGGGGGGTCCAGCGGCGGCGGGGCCGCCGCCGCAGAGCTCGTGCCTGCGGAATGGACCGCAGGCGCCTTGATGCCAAAAAGTGGGGTTCGAGGCAGCTTGAGGAGGGAGAGGAGGTTTGCGGAGGCGGCCTGAGGGCTCAGAGCCATCAGGCCCAGGCGAGCCCGATCCGCCCGGGGGCCCAGAGGCGGAGAGTACAGGAGGAAACCTCCTCTTCCTCCTCCTCCTCCTCTTCCTCCTCCACCTCTTCCTCCTCCTCCTTCCCCTCGTCCTCCTCCTCCTCCTCCTCGTCCTCCTCCTCCTCCTCCTCTTCCTCCTCCGCCTCCAGTCCTCCTCCCCCCCCACCCTGCCCACGAGCACGAGGGGGGTGGGTGGGGAACCGGGATCCCACCGCCCCCCCAGGTTTCGGCCGCCCCCGCGATGGGCATCTGGCCGCCCCCCGCCAGGCGCTGCCGCGGCATCCGCGCGGCATCCGCGTTCGGCTCGTGCGCGGCGCGGAGCCCCATGCCGGAGGCGCCGGGGGGCAGCAGCGCCAGGGTCATGAGGGCATGGAGATGGTGGGCCATCCTGGGGGGGAAGCCAGCCCGATCCGTGTGCACTGATGCCTCGGCCTAGGGAGGGCCTGGCCAAGGCTGATGCCCGTACCTAGCTTTCAACGACCAGTCTACGAAGATCGGTGATTCCCGGATAGCTCCGTGGAGAGCTGTAGGGTTGTAGAATTGGAAGCCGGCACCGCAAAGTGGCCTTTGAATTCAGTTCGTTCCGGCTTCCGTGAAAGATCCCCGGCGCGCCATGTGTGAGCCGGAAATCTGTCCCGAAATAACTTATCCCAGCGTTTCCTAATAATTACGTGTGTCCGGAAGCTATCCAGAAGCTCCTTCGGAAGCTCCTTCCAGGAGTTTCCCTGACCTGCTTCGAGAGCCCTTTGCGCCCTTCTGGCGCCCTGCTATCCGGGTTTGGGACTCCACAAGTCGATAGAAAGGCTGTTCATTTGGGCCTCTCTGGGCCTCCATCAGCTCTCGGAAGCGAGACCTCGGGAGGTGGCGGGCCCTCTTGCGGGACGATGTGTAAGGTCTCCGTGCAACGTCCTCTGACTCAATTCTAGTTGGGTTGGGCCCCCCCCTCCAAGGCTTCTAGGGGGCCCTGGAGACATCGAAGACCTCAGCGGACCTTCCTGGCGACTGGAAACAAATAGTGTCGGACATGCCCCATCATTTTCAGCCTCTGGAAGCAGCTTCTGGTCTCCAGGATCGTCAACACACAACTCGGGTAGAAAAACAATCCTGGGGTAAGGGGCTAAGAGCTCCAGGGTCTGGACATCCGACGTTCTGCTGCATCTTCTGGGGGCCTTGTTCATCGCATCGTGGTCGACATTTACCTGAAATCCGTGTCGAATCGATGCAGAGCCACAAACCCACCTCGAATTCGCGTCGAGTCCATTTCGAATCCGCGTCGAAATCGCGTAGGGCATAGGAACACATTTCTTTTTTACAGAATAGACGAGGTCGCACGAAGTTGCAACGTGACCTACGAGCTCAAGTCACGATCAGACAAGACTCCTCGGATGGCAACGAGTATCAAGTACAAGCGATGCAAGCAAGCAATTCGAAAATAACCTGGAGGCACGATTGTGCATGCCACAACGTGCCCTGATCGTGCTCGCCCTCACGCAGCTCTGGCGTCTCTTCCCTCCTCGATCCTCCTACTCATCATCCTCCCCCTCCTCCTGCCATATCACTCCTGCCGCTGCCCTGACCCTGCTTCTGCATCCTTCTTTCTGTCTTCCGACCTCCTCGACTCTCATCTCTTCTCGTGCCTTTCGTCGTCGTTCTCCTCTTCCTCCTTGCTCTGCCGCTCCTCCTTCTGATGTTCACCGTCGTCATCGCCATCGCCATCTTCATCGTTATCGTCGTCATCGTCAGCATCATCATCATCATCATCATCATCATCATCAGCATCATCAACATCATCATCATCATCATCATCATCATCATCGTCATCGTCATCATCATGATCATCATCATCACCATATCATCACCATCCGCATCACCATCATCACCACAATCAACAAGATCGTCATCAGCAGCATCGTCATCATCACCATCATCATCATCATCACCATCACCATCAAAATCATCATCAGCATCATCATCATCATCACATACACCACCACCCACACCACCACCACCATCATCATCATCATCATCACAATCAGCATCAGCAGCATCACACTCAGCATCATCATTATCGTCATCTTTATCATTACCATCATCATAACATTACTGTCATCTTCATTATCATCATCACCACAATTACAGTCATCATCTTCATCATATTCAATATGATCGTCATCAGTATAGTCATCATCATCAGTAGCGTCATCACCATCATCATCATCATCATCAGCATCACCATCATCATCATCATTACCACCATCACCATCACCACCATCATCACCATCACCATGGTCATCGTCTATATCAAGACCATCAACTGCATCAGCATCATCATTCTCACTCCTTGCGCCTCCTTCTGTTGTCTCGCCTCGTCGTCGTCGTCGTCGTCGTCGTCGTTCTTATGGGGAGTGCGTTGCACGCCCAGTTAGCCGCCTCGCGGAGAGCGGCTCAGTGGATCAGCACACATTCAAGCCTTGCGGTATCAGGGGGCTGCCTGGGCCGAAGCAGCTACGCACGTGGTTTCAAGTTGCAGGGGGGGGAGGGCGGGGGGCTGAGAAGGACGAGGAGGGGAAAGGGGAGGGGGGAGAGTGGTTGACTAGGACGAGGTGGTGGATCTGAATATAAACGAATCTGAATGCGAGTGAATATGAACACGGGTGAATCTGAGTATGAGCGACCTGAACATGAATGAGTCTTATTACGTGATGGTCAGGGATGGAGGCGGGAGGGAGGAAGTGGAGGCGTGGCTCAAATGATAATTACCCTGACGCGTATCCAACCCATGTACAACAACTGTGAAGAACCGTTGGCCAAACTCATCCCGGCGATGACATGGCAAGCCAGGTCAACTGTCGCGGAAGCTACATGGACGTCGCGCACTTTGAGGGACTGATCAAGCACCGATAAGACGCTGAATAGAGGGCCAGGCGGCCCGCGGGACAAGAAGTCTAGCCCCAGGCCCCGTATTGCGAACGTGGTTCCGCCCTGGGTGTATGGACTTGGCTGTCCAACAGGATCACCTCTCCTGAATGCCCCCGTGCCTGTGCAGTGCGAATGCTCTGAGGCTGCGTGCCGCAGCCACCGTTTGGCTTAGACAGCTCTCGCGCGGGGAACGCTTGCACCCTTCGGGCCCTCTGGCGAGGCCGGCAAAAGGACCTCACGCTCGACTCTGCTCGCGATCGGATTCGCAGTGGCTTGAGCCAGATAATAAATGGGGGAGCGGCGATCGAGCAGGAACTCATTGCGAAATGAGCAGCTCTGGGCTGCGCAGACTCAGACATGGCAGACGGGAGCAACGGCGGAGGTGTCAGCCAGAAGCGGTTCTCAGGAGACGGCACTGATGGCGAAGCGGCATGCAAGGTCTGGAAGCGTTGGGCGAAGGCAGCGGTAGTGGTCCAGAAGGCGAAGAACACCCTGGTTGAGGCGCTGGGCACGTGGTTGTACACCCTACTTGACATCGGAGGCATCACCATTGAGGGAGGCGAGAACATCGTGTTTGAGGCGCTCGACGGGCGCTTCCCAGACAATATTGCAGGAGATCGACTGGGAGAAGCGATGGAAGAGGCGTACTCTGATGATACCGAAAAATGTGACCACGGAGGCGTTTACCGGCCGCGCGAGGCCAATGTGCTATGCTGACCGAGGAAGGGGTGGACCTGCCTTCTGTCGCACAAGGCTACCTGATCTTGCGAGGAGCGAGACTGGGCAACTTCGGGCGCGCGACAATCATGTCGGCGACTCACCAGAGCTGGGAGGCGGACGGGGTGTGTGCGGCGATCAGGACAGCGTTCCCATGCGTCCCCCCAGAGCGGCTGACACAGGCGGCGCTCGCAGTCCAAGGGGAAGACGACGGTGGGGACGGCCACGAATCCTATGACGAGATGGACGGCCCCAAGGACGACGTCACCCAGGAGATCGACGCGATCGTTCAGGCAACCGAACCGATCGACGAAGCAGACGCGGTTGAGATCCTAGCGGTGTGGCGCCAGACCAAAATGACCTTGGCGACGGAGAAATTGGAACGTGAGTTGCGATCAGGATGGAAGCCCAATCCCGGTGACAGCAGGCAGGGCGGACCGACTGAGGAAAATCTTGATCGACTGGGGCGGCGAATGAAATGCTGAAAACGCCACGAGATGGGTCATTTAAGCAGGCAGTGCCCCGACATCAAGGCAGCACCAGCAGCACAAAACCTACTTTTACACCCAGGCCCCCAGTAGTTAAGAGAGGTCAGACTTACAACAATTAAGGGGGGACTCCTTGGGGGCAGACGCAGCTGGAGCGACAGCCCTAGGTGAAAGTGCCGCGAGCCAGCCAAGGAGAGAGACGTCGTTTCCAAAGTGTGGTCGCGAGGCGAGACCACCTCCCAAAACGGCGCAGGGCCCAGAGAGGGTGCCTGACCTCGAGGCCCCAACCAGGCTTTCAGGGAGGACGGAACGCCGAAATTCCGAAATTCCCGTCCGCAACAAACAGAGACTGGCACTCCGTGGTCGGGAGGGAGGGTACAAGGTATGATTCTTAGTTGCGCCTGGCCCAACATTTACCACAAAAGCTGCATGCTGTTATCAACGCATACAAGCGGGGAGAAGAGAGGACCTGTTGCTGGTCCGAGGCTGCCCCGGCTGTGACATAAAATATCGAGATCGTGCTGGGCTCACACTGGGTACGTACCGGGTACGAGGGGTGGCTCTTCACGTTTGCTTCGCCATGAAACGGCACTTGTGCCACCCTCGCACCGTAGAAAAACGCACTGAATTTCAGTCAGATTCTGATGCAACTTGATTTGACTTGCGTCGGTGCCTGACTCTGCCAGCCGTGCTGGCGCGGCCTGTCGACAACACTCTCTTCCTGTCGAAGTCAAGCCTCTCCACGCTTATGTCGCGTACCTCCATCAGCTTGCACATGAGGGTCATTGCCGGGTCGGTGCGCCGCTTGGGAGACTGCTGGATGCACGCCGCTAGGGTCGCAGTTGTTGCTTTCCAGAAGTTAAACCCCTCCTGGATCTGCGCTGCGGTCATGCGCCACAGGGCGTTCACCAGGAAGGGTGTCTTGGTGTGCCTCTGCAAAACCGCCGCAGTCCGCCACCAGCCCTTGCGACGCGCCGCCTCGAGACAATTTTCTCCAGCCGCGACGATGGCCTCGCGCGTGTGCCTGACGGCGCGCGATGGGCCGACTTTCAAATTGAGGGCGTGGGCGGCGTCCCGCCGCTCCTTCGGCGCTTGTGCTTGTCCTGCGTGATGGTGAAGACCAGATCACCGGGCGCGCGATAGCAACGGCGCCCTCATCGCCGCCGTTGTCACCGGCCAGGACAGCGCTACTCCGCCTCTGTCGCGACGCCCCAGGATGAGCGCCATTTGACCTCCTGGGCCCTCTGCCACGCCCTCGGCCCTGAGCTGGCCCCTTGAGCCACCCGTCGGGCTGCGCCAGCGCGGCCGCGCTCTCGAAGATGAGACCCGCGCGGAAGTGGTGTCCAATGATCAACTCGACAGACTCCATTGGGATTGGCTCCCACTCGCCCTGCTGCCCAACACGTAGCCGCGTCTGTAAGGCGCGAGCTGAGGTTGGCTGTCCAATGCGATGATCCTCGAAGATGAGCACGTTGAAAAACAGGTCGGCGCCATCAGAGACCCCCCC